GATTGTTGGCTCTATCTCGCAAACCGCCCATTTTCTCCTTTTAATTATGCAGGGCATCATTACTCAGAGCTTCCTCATAAGATATGCAGTAAAAGCTTTTTTTGTTTCATAATTAGTTGCATATGGTTATTCAGACAACCGATAAAATCCTGAGAGCCATTGATAAAAGGAAACCAACTGACATTTTTCTTCCCAACGAGCAAAGCATTTGACAGGGTAATGAGTTTTTGTCTTAAATAGAGTCAGGGTTTGAAGGCCGGCTCAGCGGCATAACCACTACCCAAACGTTCAATAAGTGCCTTCCAAGGGGCTACCATGGGCGTCAAAGTAAGTTTTACAGACTTGAAGGCTAAAGAGGATGAGGAAAGTCCTGTACACTCTAAATCCAAAAGATCTGTTTTAGCCCCAAAGTGCTGATTCAGCTCTATAGGCCCTTTGTCAATTTGGTCTAAATCGACCCCAATAAAGACCATTGCATCCCCATCGAAAACCGTTTTGGCCCACAGGAGAAATTGTTTCAGCCATGTGATGCGTATTGGCCCCTTTCACAAGAGCCATTTCTACTAAAAAAACAGAGACATTTCAGGTTTTAGTCTAGTTGGCCCCTATTTAGGGCTGACTTGGCCTATACTAATACAGCTGTTTAGACCATGACAACGCAAAATGGCTCGACCACTAGAACCAACATCGATTTGAAGAATATATGTTAATCTAATCGGTGTCTAGTCGGAAGCATTAGTTCCTAATCACTGAGAACGAGCCGCTTTATCCTTATCATCGAGAGCCTCGATAAAGGGTTTGTAGTTCGAAAGAGCAAGTTAAGACATGGTTAGAGGCAAACAAGTTTACACAAGCAAGGTAGGGAGAGCCCACAGGTAAGTCGCTTGAGTCACAACGATTTATTAAATGGCGCATATTGGACCGAAGATCGTTGTTCTCAATCTGTCCATTTTAATATAGGTGATTTTCTAGGCGGAGACAGGAGCCCGTCTTGGAGATGATCATGATATGGTTACAGTGTATGAGGACGACAAAGAATGCCGTTTTTATTTTCCCCATTTTAAGGAAGGATTAAATTTTAAAAGGATAATAAAGGCAGAGGCCGAGGAAAACCAGGTAAGAACATTTTATAGGTTGTTGTAATTAATTCTGCTTTCCCGCCAAGACATAATGATAGCGCAGGGTTTGGATACGAAAATATACACGTCACTCCCATGACAGGGCTGAATAACGTACTACGCATGTCCGTGACATCACTTGTTTACTTGTCTAACCCGTGCGCGAAGCACTCGGGCAAAGTGAAATTCTTGCACCTGAGACCATTTTATCTTCGACCATCTAAACTCATATTTGTGAATGCCAACGAAGGAGAAATTCTACGAATACGTTAGAAATGCAACTCATGGAAAGAAATGTTACGTAATCCAGGAATCAAGGAAAATGTTTTTGACCGTCCCGGCGAAGGTTTTTCATTGTTTTGATGCAGATCGTCAGTAAGTTCGCAGAAAGATGACTGAGAAATTAAAAAAAGAGCAATGTGTTGGAGTTTGGGCGACTTTTCTTCGATGGTACGTAAACGATTTACTTAAACATTACTTTATTCTAGTTAAGGAGGAGCAAATCTTTGAAATGTAGGCCGAGCGATAGCAGTTGTTGATCGCTTCTTGGTGGCAAGAAAGCCGGCTTTGAGCGCGATGATACCATCAGACACAAGAAGTCATGAAAAGTCATAAACTTAGTTACAAATCTTAGTGCGATGAAAGAAGCTTTTTCGTACCTCTAGCCGGCTTAGAGGCGCTGGTCGAGCTGTAGAATCAGTATTCATTCAGTTAAGTTTGCTTAAAATTTAATTTGCACCTTAAGCTTATTAATGATTAAACTTTTAAAGTTTAAAGCTGTTGAAGTTTGGAGAAACAATCACAAGTTGGCTCAGCTCTATGTGAGTTTTCGTATTAACTATAGGTTTTCCATTTATGGCAGGATTGAATGAAGCAGAAGAATCAAGGAATGAAGATCTAGACTTCGAAGAGAAAAATAAATGAAAGTTCTTCTCCCTGTAATGAAGCTTTTTAGAGAACTTCAAGTCATTGATACTATTGATACTTTTACCAGCAAACATCGACTGTATTACTTACCCATTTACTCTTTTCAACATTAATTTTGCCTGTTGTCATATACAAAAATTTATAATAGCTCTTTTGAGCTGAACTAAGAATGAGTCATAAAGGGAAACAAGTTTGGAAGAAAGAACTTAATTGAATTCGAAACCTCAGTGATTTTTTTTTTGTTCTTACAGTTCTTATTGTGAAACCAAGCCAGATATGACAGGAGAAATAACTAAAAGACCAACATTCAAGGAAAAACAAAGATAAATAAAATGTACCTTTAATGTTGACACTGATATGATGTCCGGACGATTTATTAGAACTGATAACATATTGATAGTCTGTACTTTCATGTGTTTACGCTTGAAAATGTACACATTCGAATGAAAGAACTGTTTTCGGCTTCGTCCGTGCACCTTCTTTTGTTCATAGCAAAAAACGGAAGAAAAATTGCGAAGGTGGAAACGAGAATTAAATAAAGTATGAAATAATCTACTATTAGTTTAAATGGGAGCCTTGAATATTCGGAAACCACCTTAAAAATCAGGAAAATGTGAGGATGTTTTGAAAATCCCTTTGCAAACCATACTATTATTGCAGGGACGCTTCGTTCGTGCGTCTTCTTTTGTTCATAGAAAAAAGTAGAAGAAAAATTACAAAGGTAGAAACGAGAATTCAATAAAGTATGAAATAATCTACCTTTAGTTTAAATGAGAACCTTAAATATTCAGAATCCACCTTAATAATCGCCAAAATGTGAGGATGTTTTGAAAATCCCTTTGAAAACGATACTAGGTTAGATCCCAGACCTTTTCCGTCTCTGCACATGCGCAGACGTTGTTCAGCTCTGTCCACTCCCATAAATCCTTGCACACTACCAAATTGCGCGCGCATGTTTGAAATGTTTAGGCGGGCTTCCATTCAATTCAACGGTCAGGTCAACGGACGCTCAATATGTTAAGCGAATTTCAGTTTAATTTTCGCTAAACTCGGCGATTTTACTCCAAGCGAGAGATAGATCGTGGATAGAACAATCTTATCAAGATAATTGCCATGTTTCGTCTCATTTGTTTCGTAAAGGATCGAAGGATAACATCGCCGTTTGAAAGGTTTGTCATGTGCACTGCTACATTATATAAAACTGATAGAATGAATTTTAATACACAACAATTTCAGAGTATTTTGGAATCAAACAAGTTTTGCATATAACAGTTTGTACTTAAGTGATAAATAGATCAGCAAATTTCGTGAGTTTCCATACCATAGACATAGATGAAGAAAGGCAATTTTGTTTACTCAGCATCTTTTGACCTCAACTAGCCAGCAAATCAGTTCAGGGTGCAAAGAAAGTCAGTTTTACAGCTTGCCATTCGGACAAGCTGTAGCTAACATGTACTAGCCCGAAAAAAATTGATGAGCAGGATTGATTACAGTTCTTCTGTTATTCGAATTCCTAAAAAAATATCACTTGCCCGTCGGGCAAGTTAAAAACAGAATTCCCTAGCCCGATAGCAAAATCCACTAGCCCCGGGCTATCGGACACTACTTTCTTTGCACGCTGCGGTTCCAATAATATATTTCAAGTTTCTTTATTTTTCCACAAATTTTTAATAGAATGTTTGGCTGCTACATTTACATGTACATAGTGAGTGATCAAGGTATATTCCAGTTAGGTGCGAAGCTTTATGCTGAGGAATCCTTTCTGTTAGGCATTGATTGGTCAATTTACTCTATTAACCATAATTTGCTTCTTGCAAAGCTGTCAGCGTACGGTGTAACTGAAGACGCCCTACAACTTCTACGTTCTTACTTGACTGACCGAAAGCAACATGTCAAGATAGACGGTAACCTGTCAGATTGGCAAATTATGAAGTGTGGAGTTCCTCAAGGTTCAATCTTGGGCCCCCTTCTCTTCAATACATACATGAATGATGCGAATTTTTCAGATATTTCGTGCTCCTTAAGATTCTATGCCGATGACACTACGGAGTACTCTTCAAGCCCATGTCCATCCACCTTGCAAATAAATCTACAAAACAACCTTGGTCTACTCGTTTCCTGGTTTTGTAAGAACTTCCTGGCGATTAGCCATAGTAAATCTCAATCCATCGTCTTCAATAGAGCAACTCTACCAACGCCCTTTGTTATTGACAGCAATGAACTGGATTACGTTCCACAGATCAAGCTCCGTGGTGTAATTATCGACAATTCACTCTCTTTTAAAGCACATATTAAAGAAATTTGCCGGAAAGTGAACACAAAAGTTTCAATTCTTCGTCGCATTCGTAAACTTATACCCTCAGATATTATGATTAAACTGTACAAAGCATTTATTCTGCCTCACTTTACATACGCATCACCATTGTTCATAGGTCTAAGTAAAGGTCTGTCTGCAAAACTAGAGCCAACCAACGCATTTCCTCTTAGGACTCTTCTTAACTACTCCAAATCGACTGCTTATGAAGAGCTACTTAAAACTGTACATATCAAAAGCTTGGAACATCGACGCATAGAACAAGCACTGATACTTGTATACAATAGCATTTATAACCAGGCACCGAACTACATTCGGGAAATGTTTTTAGTGCGAAGCAATGGTTACAGCCTACGGGGCCATCTTAAGGTTGTTCTTCCAAGACCGACCTCATCTGATATGCAACATTCTTTCACGTACCAGGCTGGCAAACAATGGAACAATCTACCAGACAAAATAAGGATGTCGGAGTCCCTCTCTATCTTTAGGAAAAACTTACAAAACATACAGTTGTCTTCATCGTATGACTGCAACTGTGAATTTTGTAAATAGACAATCTGATTACCAATATTTTCTCTTTTTAAAATTTATTATTTTTTAGTTGGTTTAATTTTTCTATTTCTTATTTTTATTCATTACTTGTACATGTAGATTATGTAAATTATCACGTTGTAATTTTTATGGCACATTTGCATTTAAACGAGCTATCGCTCATATGCGATATGTGGTTAAATAAAATTACTTACTTACTTACTTACTTACAGTACAGTGTAATGCTTATGAAAAATGATCAATGGTACATTTCTATTTTTTTCCCCTCAAATAACGATTTGGTAAGGTGATCAAGGTATATTCCCGTTAGGTGCGAAGCTTTGATGCTGAGGAATCCTAATTCTAGGCATTGATTGATTACTTTTATGCAGTAGACATGAAGCTTCGAATAAAAATAAGGTTCATCGTCATTTGGTTTTCTTGTCAAGATATACAGATGCATGTGGGGGTCATTTTTTGCAAATTTACATGTTTCCTCTAGAAAGTTTTGTATGTTTATGCGTGACTGGGAACTTGTAGGCAGTATACAGTGTTGATGTTACCAGTGCTACATTAAAACTGATAGAGTGAATTACAACAATTTCAGACTATTTTAACATCAAACCAGTTTTGCAGATAAGAGTTTGTAATTAAGTCATAAATAAATCAGCAACTTCTCGAGTTTCCATGGACATAGTTGAAGAAAGACAATTTTGTTTTGTCAGCTGCATCTTTTGACGTCAACTGCAAATCAGTTCCGATAATATTTCAAGTTTCATTATTTTTCCAAAAAAATTTTAATAGAATGTTTGGCTGCTACATGTACAGGTACATAGTAAGTGATCAAGGTATATGCCAGTTAGGTGCGAAGCTTTATGTTGAGGAATCCTTTCTGTTAGGCATTGATTGGTCACTTTACAGTACAGTGCAATGCTCACTGGTACATTTCTATTTTTTTCCTCACATAACGATTTAGTGAGGTGATCAAGGTAATGTATATTCAAGTTAGGTGCGAAGCTTCATGCTATGAAATCCTAAAATTTTCTAGGCATTTATTGATCACTTTACAGTTAGACACAAAGCTCAGAGTAAAAATAAGATTCCTTGTCATTTGGTTGTCTTATTAAGGAGTCTTTAATTTTGTGTACAAATTTACATTTTTCCTCCAGAAAGGTTTGTATGTTCATGCATGACTGGGAACTTGTAGGCAAATTTTGGCATCACAGATTTTATTTAAGTTTTTTTGGTTTGGTGGTTAGGAGATAGGAGTAAAAAGGAGACAAAATGAAAGGAGAAAAGGCAGAAAACTATAACAAAAAGAAAGCAAATCTTATAACTAGAATTAGTCATTTGCTGGAAATGACAGAAAGAATCAGTGACCTTAAGACCAAGTGTAGTGCCAGTGAAAGCACTTTGGATTCAAATACATGTAATAAAGCAATGGGAATTTTAAAACATAAATATTGAACTCGGAAAGAATTACGTATTAGTGTCTCACAGAAAATTAAAAGTAGTTAAAGAAATGAGGCAACACCAACTCGTAGTTATGAAAGACAGCTACAACAATGACATCATATTAGGTCGGGGAAAGTTTGATGTTTTTAAGCTGATGTCTTTGTCACTAAGTGGGGAATCAATTAACGTGGCAGTTATTCCGAGTTGACACTAAAACAGGGTTCTCCTTAAATTTTAGCTCAGCAGGTAAGGGACCATTCATGGCCGGTAAGGCAAAAAATGCGCCAGAGGCGCGCTTTCTTAGGGGAAGTGGTGGTGGGGGGGTAGTTAAGTGAGGGACATGACCCTGCCCTTGCTGAGAGACTTAGGAGCTAAGGTCTCTGAAATGTCATTCCTTCATTTGAAGACCCATTTCAAGCAAATCAGTTGCTGTTATCTTTAGACATCAATTTAAAAATGTTTGATTCCAGTATGTTTTTTGGTCCATAAAAAGAAAAGCTGTGCACACTTTATTACTTTTCCACATATTCATTCATTTCTTTGATCGGATCGGATCGCAACTTGCACATTTTTTAAACTTACAATATTTATTTTTAGTAAACCTTCAGCGGCTGCAGGCGGTAAGAACTGTTGCTTCAGGCGGTAAATTTTAATGGTTACCGCTTGATAAGGAGAACACTGTAAAAGAAGCTGTTATTGATGAAGCCAATCTTTTGTCGTGCATCTATCATAAGGCATTCCCCTTTTTTTTGGTGTGTGTTTTTTGGAGGGTTGCATAACATGCTCCTACTAGTCTAGAGGTTTGTGGAATGACAGGAAATCAAACACTCAGTTACCATTTTTAGAGAGCTCTGTTAGACTGGTTCCAAGTAGATGTGTCACTGAAACATTATGGTTACACATTTTAATGCTTTGTTGTAAGGGATTTTATTATCATTATTTGAGCGGGATTTTACATATGACATTAAAGGTGATAATAATTTTTTATTTCGATTTCCAAAGGTGTAACTTGGATGATTGGCAACCTAAAATAATAGTCTTTAATAAAGCATGCAAAATAGAATCATTGGGAGTCTAAATTCCTGCAAGCGAGAGAAGTTTACTCAAATCATGTCATACGCATATTGATCTAGCTCTGTAGGACGGAAAATATCCCCCTTGCCCAGCCTCAGGTGTCTTGCGCTTTGGGTATACATGCATGGTTAGGAAAATTGCCAAAACAAACAGGTCAGAATTATTATTGTATCTACCTGTATGAGCAAGTAAAAAAAAAAAGTATAATATACCTGCCAACTTTTTCTAAGATACAAGGGTGAGATTTTTATCCTGGGAGTGCTGAAATTTTTGAAGACGACACGATCATTTCCGAAGATTGCCGAAGAAGTCCGAAGTCTTCCGAAGGCGTCCGAAGTCTACCGAAAGCGAAGTTATCGAGAAAACGCTTATCCACAAGGACCGACGTTAGTTGATAAAAATCAGAGATCGCGAGGAAGGTATTGTCATTTATTCATTTTACACCTGGTTTTCGTTCCTTACATGGGTCTGAGTTAACATATTTTTGGAAATTGTGTCAAGCAAGACGGCAACAACTCACATTTTTCAATCAGGCGTGAGAAATTGGCCCGCAGGCGTCAGCCGGCGTGAGATCGAAGTTTTCAACTCGCAGGCGTGAGGCTCACACCTAAGGCGTGAGAGTTGGCAGGTATAGTATAAAGGACTGACCAACATTTGATATACTGCTGGGGGACCTAAAGAATGTTGTTACTATGTAACGCTGATTGTAATATGTTACAGGTCAAAGTTGGTTTCAGGTTAATTTTGATTTAATCTTGGTTGATTCTCAATTTCCTTTGTTTCCTAGCCCTAATTCATGAAAAAATAATTAGGGCTAGGAGACAAAGAATATTTTTACAATACTGCAGGAGTGGTCATGTGACAGTTTTGTAACATAAGATATGTAGTTTTTATCGTATGAATTAATGAAGACTATTATTATTATTATTGTTATTATTATTATTACAGTGAAACCTCTATTAAGCGGACCCCCAATTAAGCAGACACCCTCTATTCAGCGGACACCTCTATTAAGCGGGCGTGGACACTAAGATAAGGTGTATTTTGCTAATTTCTATTGTTAAAAACCTCTATTAAGCAGACACCGGACTGAATTAATAATAGTAGTATTGGATTACGTCCTTGAAATACGGACTGAAGTCAGTTAATGTTTTCGCATTTACAAACAAACAATTAAAGTAGGTAATGAAAGGTAATGAACTTGAACGGCTTTTTTAACAACATGCAACTTTATCACAGTACAGAGTAACCGTTAAATGTTGATCGTTAACAAACATTGCGCAATTTTTACAAACTCTATTAAGCAGACACTTGGGAAGGTCCCGAAGGTGTCCGCTTACTAGAGGTTTCACTGTATTATTATTATTATTGCTACTGAGTCAGACTTGCATGTATTAAAAGACTTTCATCTGTAATGTTATTGACTACTTAAAGCTTACATGTACATTATTGCAACTTTATTTTAGGTGGCCATGTTACTTCCTATGATTAGCAGAGTTATGTAAGATTTGCATTTCTAGGTCTTGATAGATGATAACCATTCATTGTATTACACTACTTAACCACAGCTATCAAGAACAGTATTTTTCCCTTTTTGTCAATGTAAATTATCATATTTATCATTGCCACATGTAGTTTACTTTGGGAAACTGTATGTTAGTAAGTGTACAACTTGTTGATGTTGTTCTTTCTTGCTTTTTGACAGAGAAATGCTTCAGTTGATGCAGAAATAGCAACTTTCATATAACTGCAAACTGTTGCAATTGAAGAGGCCTTTGATTTCAACAAAGTGTACATTGTGTGTCAAAAGGAATGATGTTATGCACCATTCTGCACCAGAGTATTGTAGAGAGTATAATTTCTTTGCTGTCATCATTTTATATAGTTAACATGGTAATGGCGTATAAAGGTCATTCAGACCTTGTTGAGTGTCAACACACTCTTCAATGGCATTTTCAATTTGTAAAAGTGAAATTTATAGAGAAAAGCTCTACTAACGTAACTGAACAAATTTTTGCCTTCTTTTTCATACTTTTACGATTTGGGGGTTAAAACTTCTCAAGCAAAATGCCTTTAAAATGCTCATATTCTCCTAAGAAGTTATACTCACTTCTACAGTAATCATTACAGCTGTATGTAGTGCTTAAAATTCAGCACCAACCCCTCTATTTTGAGCCTAATGAACTTCTTGGCAACCTTGAGAGTTTTAATTTAGCAGGGTTCTGCTGAGTCACTTTTCTGACATTATTTTTATGAAATTTTGTATTGGGGCTCCCAGCAAAATTTTTATAAAGTTATCTTAGAGATGTACATTCCAAATTTTGGTTAAGTTTGCTAAAAAATAATAATAATAAAATATTTTTACATTGCACTGAGCATGCCTCTTGTGTATTTTAAATGAGAGGGCAAGGTAATGAGATTAGATGTACCACAAAATTAGAACACTTTTAGGGTAAATAACTGTTAATTGTAGGCTCAAAGAGCAGTTTTAAACTCACTTGCACCTGAAGGAGAACTAAAGTTTTTTTGATTTGGCACTTAAAACTGCACTGATTCTGATAACTACATGCAATGGGCTAAATCAGCCACCCATTGTGACCGTTGATGCCCCTTGTATTGATTCTAAATGGCCCAAAAATGGGGCCATTTTATAGAATACGAAGAACCATTATAATCCCTGTGGATGGGCTGTTATAAATAATTAAGGTCCAAAACGGCTCTGGTAAGAAATTCTATTTCAGACACAATGGTACCGATTTAGTCATAGAAAGTGCATTTGTTTTAAACTCCCCATTGGGCCAAATTGGCCACGAAATATGGGCCAATTTTCATCTTAACTGAAGGTATGAAACGGCCCTGTAAGGGCTGAATTGACTCTTAAAATGAACCACTTCAACCCTATTAGAAACCAAAACTACTCCCTATTTTTCCAAAACAGCCGTTTTGCCTCTTCGTTGTGGCCACTTAACAGAGGGCTATTTCTACCCCGTTCATTGGGGCCAAAACGCCTCCATTCTAAATGGGCTACTTTAGCCCCAAAAATATTATTGTATTTTATTCACCGAAACGGCCCCATTTTTGGGGCCAAAACAGATCTGTTGGATTTAGAGTGTAGTCTGTCTTTCCTTGTAGGTGTTCCCATTCGTTCGTTACAAGATTCTTGTCAGGTTTTATTAGTATTATACTCTATTTTGTTTGCCTATTTTTATTATTATTATTATTATTATTATTATTTTTTTTTTTTTTGGCGGAAAAGACGATATTCTCTTTCCAAACGTTGTTGAAAGAAAATTTTAGTGTTTTAACCTGTCATTTGGAGTTCAGTTTTACAGCTAGAGTTTCCATGACACTAGCACGTCAACCAGTGCAAAGTCTTTCAGACCACAAAATAGCCCGTACTCTTTGCGTAAGCCAAGAACGCGCGAATAGTCGAGCGAACGAATGGTCTGGAGCAAAACAAATGGTAGTTCCCTCTTATCTGGAGCAAGTGAGGGGGGAAGAGTGAGTGAGACTGAGGAGAGAAGCGAAAAATACGTCCTAATAAAAACCATAGAAACAGACAAAAAAAACTAAAAGAAAAAAAGAAAACAAAGATTACAGTTTCTTAGTCTTTAGTACTACCAAATTTGTTCCTGCACCTGATCAATAACAAAGAGCCAAAAGGAGTAGACGCTCAAGTTGCATATATACCATAAAAAGTTGGAATTGAAGGAATAAACGTAGATAACATGTAGCAGGCCCTCAGGTAGCTGGGAAAACGCAAAGAAAAGTGAGCTAGAGAAAATGGCAAAGGGGCGGGGTTAGGAAGAGAGGGCGAAAGAACCTCTTTTGCTCCTCCTACTCTCCCCCTCTTACTCTCTTCCACGTTTGTTTTCCTCCGCTCTCCATTTCGCGCCACTTTCCGGTATCCACTGTCCACTTTGCCTGGAACAGGCTAGTTCCTAGTGGGCCAGAGAGTTCTTTCGAATGCCGATGCAAGGGTCTACAGATGTCATTCTCATTGAATGCGACTGATTGTAAACACCTAAAAGTTATCATTATATCAATGGCCTCTAATAAAGCTCCCGGAATCGATAAGATTCCGATCCGTGTAATTAAGGATTCCTTGGGCTCTATCCTTCCTGTTCTCACTTCTGTCATAAACACATCAATAGCCTCAAACATGTTTCCTAAACAATGGAAACTAGCCGAAGTGACTCCAATACCAAAAGTTACAGACTATATACAAGAACAAGCGAGTAACAATGGGCCGATCTCGCTTCTGTCGGTTGTTTCGAAAGACTGCCAGAGGGTCGTCCATAATCAATTAGCATCATTCCTTACGTCAGAGGGGAGGCTGTAGAACAATCAAAGCGGAAACAAGAAATTCCATTCACCAGAAACGCCCGTCATCGAAACAAAAAAGTTAACAGCCATGGTCCTACTTGACATGAGTAAGGCCTTCGATAGCGTCGACCACAAACCGATGATCTCTAAACTTCAAGATGCAGGAGCTTCTTCTTCATGTACAGAATGGTTTTGTAGCTATTTGAGTAGCAGGCAACAGGTTTTCCGATTCTGAGGCTCTTCCTAGTGTCAGCGGTATACCCCAAGGGAGTATATTGGCACCTCTTCTTTTAAGTATACATACGAACGACCTCATCTCTGTACCAATAAAATGCATGACAAGGAGCTGTGTGGACGACACCAAACTACTTATTTCATTTGATTTGAAAGAGAAGACGCCCGCAATAGCTCATATAAGAAGAGGACCTATTCAACGTCAGCAAGTTGTGCTACCAGAACTAAGAACTAAGAACTTAACCCAGATAAAACTAAACTCCTGGGTTTTGAAAGCAGACAGAAGAATTAAAAGAATTAAATTGGCTCCCATTAGAAAAATTAATCTATCTTAGAAGTGCCACTCTGTCGTTTAAATGTATGACGGGCTCAACACCGGATTATCTTACGTCTAAATTTAGTAAACGATTTAACATCAGTGGGCGAGAAACTAGAAACTCATAAAGCGTTTCTAGTTGGTCACATGATTAATCAAGGCAGAAAAATTTGTAGCGGAAGACATGCATGTTTGACCAAAGAAAATGTTACGGAGATGTTACGTGCTAGCAGACGTCATCATCTTTGTTTTTGAAGTACTGTGCATATTTTGGCGTTATATTAATGTTGACGAAGTAAGTTGAGTCACTCTCAAAAAATTACCAGAAAGTGCGATTGAATTATTACAAATTACCACAGCTTAGTTTATTACAAAGTGCGATAGACTTTTATTACAAATTGCAGCACGGTTTATTACAAATGCTTGCGACAGGTATTACAAAGTGCGATGATCATTACAAATCGCCACAGTACATCCACAACCACGCATAATCTAGTCACGTTCAACATAGCGAAATATCATCAAATAACTCGGAAAAACGCAGCCTATTGGCAGATAAACACCTCTGGGTTTTTCTCTTACACTCGTCTTATTCAAGTTCCCGGATGTACAGTCACACGGTCGGCAGACCAGCATAGACCCTGTTTTAACACCAGAAATAAACGAAGTCTTGGCCTAGGTGAAAGTTCACCTGGAATTATTCCCGAAAAGCGGACAATATCGTTCCTTTCTGTCTCAGCCCGGATCAGGGGGATTGATTCGTTTAGCCAAATGAAACGAGAATACAATACGATATTGGACGACACTGGGAATCCTATTAACTTTGTTCCATCTCAGATATTTACATGATCAGGGGCACCCAATGAACCTGTTGCTCAAAATATTTGTTCTTCAGGCCAATTTTTGCTGGCCGGGAGATTTGGAAAAAAATTGTATATCCTTGGAAGGAATGTTGCTGGGAAATAGACAATTAAGGGTGTCTGAGGGGATTTCATGTCTACAATAGCTGCAATGAGTTATCCCCCCCCCCTCCCACTGAAGGGTTAATTTGCGACCACACCCAATTTCCTTCTTTTTAATGGAGTCTGCTAGGAACAATTTTTGGATTGCAGGCCATGTGCCTAATTTCAAAAACACTTCAAGTCAGCTCCCCTTCCACTGAATTTCTTTTAACCTTTTTAAACTAATCCAGACTAACGACAACCGTACTCACCACTCGCAGAGTGCTGGCAGTTTTTACCGTCTCCATTGAAATACTGTTGACATGAACAGCTGTAGGACCCAATGGTGTTCGTACATGAAGCGAAACTGTGGCAGCTGTGTAAACCGCTGGTGCATTCATCAACATCTGCGGATGGAGATTCAGGGCGCTGATGTATCAAACATGCTTTACTCTTTCAAGGCTACATGTACAGTTGATCATTTTACATTTAGAGCTATGTAGATGGATTGCGCCTATTTTTAAGAGCATTTTACAGTGAAAAAAAAAAAAACTATTAGATGCTTATTGGAAACTAAGTCTAGCGATTGATGCAACATATAAATAGGTGGAGGATAGTGGGTTTAAAAGCAGATAAACTTCAGACATGTTTCACAAGACGACACAGTATTATAATCTTCGTTGTCTTCTCATTCGCTGATGCATGATAAATTCGCCTGGGGAATTTCTTCCAAAAACACTCGACTCATCATTAAAAATTCCTTAAATAAAGCAATATTCTGCTCAGTTTTCTTTCTGGTCTTTTCCTTTTCTTGTCCTTGGGGAAATTCTTCGAGTGAGACTTTATCTGCGAACCTTGAAGTGCCCGATCGAAGACGACGTAACTATGATCGTCGCAGTGCATGGCAATTGCAATTTAATCAATTGCAAATTAACAACGACATGATCGTGGCAGTGGCTATTGCAATTTAAGCAGTTCACATCATATTCTTTTCATTCTATGATTCATTCCGTTCAAGGAATAATCAGCAAAAGTAAGTGTTTTTAAATTCATCCTCGATTATGAGAGCTCGGCGTTTACATGAAGTATACTGCCGTTTTGAAAGCAGGAGAACACTTCGAGCAGCCAAAGATGAAAGACACTTGCTCAGTTGTTTATATAACGACTGTTCATCATAGGCCGATAGTCTTTTCCTGAGACCCCATCATAGCTGGATTCATGGAGAAATTTTTGAGATTTAAAACCCGAAAATGAAGGAGGAAATTTGTTTTCTTTCGAAGTCCTTGTTGTTATCATGGAAAACTTGTATCCGTGTTCATTTAAATGCCTGAAAAGTGGAGCTGTCATGACTTGCGTGTGGTTGCCTCCGTTTTTGTTCTTTATTTTCTACTTTAGTGTAGTCTGTTATAAGTAGCTTGTTTAGTTTCTCTGGCTCATTTTCCTCGATTTTGTTGACAGTATTTTTCTCTTAGCATCGCATTTTCCATACATTTAGCCAGAAAGGCGTTCTTTTTCCTGTGTTTGAGTTTTTGGAATTTTTGTTAACTTTTCTATTGTTGTTTTGCGTACATGAAATCAAATCGTTGTTTGCTGAAAACCATGGCCATTTTCTTAAATTTTGTTGTTAAAACAGCTCTAATCTGATTGGTTCTTGGTGGCTTCCTTTTTTGTTTTCAACCAATCAGAAACCGTTTGTAATCTGCACTCGTGTTACAAATTTGCACTCGTGTAACAAAAGAACTGCACTCCTTTCTCTGCAGCCAATCAGAATTCAGTAGTTTTTTTTGTGTTTATTATTAGGCCTAAAAAAAATGATCGCAGGTTTGAACAATCACCATCGTTCCACGTATCCGATGATATTAACTGGCTGCTTGGCTCCGCTTTTCTATTTGCTTACTACATACAGTCAATACTAAAATTAATTTCAACTCCTGCTAAACCAAAACTTTAACTGTAAAAAGCGAGGAGAGCACAAAAGACTCTCGTATTGCCGCCGTTGCTGTTCAATCTAAAAACGAACATATCATACAAACGGAATTAAACTCAAACGGCTCACCAGTGCATGTGAATCCATCCCCTGTGAATCCTGCTGTACATGCGCATGCGTAAGATCCAACAGTATTACTACACACCGCATTAACGTCACAGCTGTGAGAGTTCGTAGAGCACTCGTCGATATCTGGCGAAAAAAGTGAGGAAGCGTTCTTATTTAGTGATGCAACAAGCCCTGGATAAATAACTAGAGGTCATTTACTTATATTTTCTCTTTGCGTTAACCCTGCTTAACTACTACAGGTAATCCGATTTTTCATGCCTTTTTTACATATAAACGGAGAGGGAAACATTGAAATACACGTAATAAACACAATTCGAAAGAAAAGAATCTCAAAAGGCGAGAACTTCTTAAGATAGCTTATAGGTGAGACTTTCTCTTAGCTCTATAACAGAACGAGCTATAGAAAGAGGGAGTATTCGAGGGAGAAAATTTCCTGTCTGAAATGCATAACGATTCAAAGCGAATTTTTATTAATTATTTCAGCAAAGTACCCTGTTTGCTCAGTTGGCATACTAAAGATCAATTTCGTTAAGATATGTTTGTCGGACGTACGTTTCGGTTTGGGTTTTACGGAAAAAACCTTAAACGTCCCCAATATCTACCTTTGATTTGATGTTAAGCCCAAATAATGCTAAATATGCTTTAAATTACGCATTTAAAAATCAAATAGAATAATGAAACAGAAAAGAAGACAGGAGAGAAAGGGGTCCCAGGTCTTACGATACATTAATTATAGAGCCTGGTCACCCAATCAGTTTCTAACCGGCTGGCCTTGACAATTGTACAAAACCGAGTTTAGTGAAATTTGGCGGGATATGTATTTCTAGTCTTACTTTACAGTCAAACCAAGTCAAGCGTACCCCCCAAGATTCTATCAGTGAATTGATTATTTAAAAAATGAATCCGTTAGTCGTTCCCGTAACTGGTGTATTTGGTCAGATTGGAAATCTTTGAATGGATTAAGCTTCTTAGAAGACATTTACATCAATTTCGGGAAAATGGAGCTGGTAGAAATTTCTTAACTGCCTCGCGTGTGAATTCACGGCTCATTACACATACAAGAAGCAGAGATCAATCTGAAATCTACAACTAGCAACGGATTCAACTTTTGAATAATAAATTCATTAATGGATGGATTCTTGGGGGGTACGCTTGACCTGGTTTTCAGGCTTTTGCGGCCATTTGTAGGTCAATCGACATTTTTTTAATGCAAATGTATACGACTTGTTTCCCCATGTTTCTAATAATGAAACTGATTGGTGTTACCTACTCTTCCATCTGTCTAACCATTTGCCTAACATGCTGTTATTGTGTTTCGAACTTTTTGAATATAGTTTTAACTCAGTAGATTCACTGTCTGGAACATGAAGATTAAGATATATAAGGGTATAAATCTCCATAGTGCTACGCTCAGTACCTTTAAAACAAGTGTAGTTGTAACAGTTAGTACATGGCACATCATTCCAAGTGTAACCATGCCTGGCGCCAAGAGTGTGAACACAGTCTTCGTTTTTCCAGTCGTTCGGTTGCTGTGGGGCCCAGAACCTAAATTTGCTTATTTCTTTGTTTGTCCACACAAAGGAACCCTCCACACTTCGGTCATTGAGTCCAATCCAAGATCTCTCTCCGTTGTGACGGTGTTGAATATAGACATTTTCTTCTTGATTGTGAACCGTTACCAAATTGGAACTCATCGTAGAACAGTTTGACTCAGCGGTCAGCCACGAGGCGCATGCTCGACTTGTGAAGTAACAGTAGCCGCCGAAAAAACTCCATTTTGGCTGGCAAATATCTGTGATAAAGATATAAAACTGTGCAGTTTAGAAATCCCCACACATTTGGTCCCTTAAAGAATGCTTTCTCCACAGGCTTCCCAAGGCTTAGTAAGGAGAACGGAACAATCGAGAAGCGCGAGAAATGGAGGCAAGGAACGCGAGCGACTGGGGACGAGGCAGCTTCACAAATATCATCTCAACTGCCTGTTGGGCCGATACGCTTAGCAGGAGAAAAAGAGGAAAATAAAATTAACCACCTCAAATTGAGAGCAATATGTACTGATTAAATGGAATAATCAGTAGTAAAAACATTGTTCGCCTTCCTCTATTAATGAAATGACTCTCGCATAAGTCATCTTTTTATGCATTCATAATAAATTAGTTGTGAGCAATCAGTAAAACCTATGTGTTACGAAAACGAGAATTCCATAAA